TTCTTCCGACGCCTGTATTATTAGGCTTAACATTTTTTTAAACGCCTTGCATTATCTTCTTAGACTCTCAGTCTACTTAATATACTCTGCCTCCAATAAGCGTTAGGTATGTAAGATTCGAACGTGAATTTTAAAGTTACGTTATGCTCTTATTGCTAAGATAATATTTGCTTTTAAAATATTACATAAGCACCCTGCGCTTACGTTTAAGCTTCAATGAACTGTAAAACTTACCAAAATCATTTTTATTTGCTTACATAGGTAGATAAACAAACCGGTTAAAATAATGATAAATAGCGTTTATTTAATATTTACATTCTTATTTTCCCTGCTTTCTTAAGAGGCCGACCTCATGGTACTTGTGATGGCTGTTGAAATCACTTACGAAAAATTTCATTAATTTCGTTGCCTTCCTTAATAATTAACCTTCTTCTCCCATTCCAAGTTTTCGTTGGAAAGTTGTTCTCTTTTTTATTTAGTTATTTATTTATCTTTTCTTTTTTAAATAATTTGAACATATTCTTCCTATTAAATGAAGATACAGACATACGCAGTTAAGTATATCCACGCATATATGGTTACATTTTATACTTACACGGTTATGCAATTATGTAGAAAAAATAAAAATAAATAAAAGAAGAGAAGAGAAAAGAGAAACCTAACAGCCAATCAGTTTGTATTCAACCATATGTTGTCGTTGTACCGTTGCATTTGTGAATGGAAAAAAATAAACGAATAAAAAAAATTTCCAGCGAAAGGATACGAAAGGTATAACGAAAAGCCAATTTACATTCATTGATTGCGATAACAAGAGCAATAAAAGTAAAGTACCTCGCCGTGTACAATTCCATTAAGGACGCAGGAAAACGAAGAAAGTGAGTGACTCTCTCATATTCTGGCAAATTCACTATTAACAGACACAGGTAATATATTCTCGATTTTTTTTTAATAAAAAAGAAAAATGAAGAACTTCAGTACGAAACATACATCGCAATTGTGAATATCGAATGTTATTATCAGATCAAATCCAAAGCTTTGTAATTTTCCCTAGAGCGGAAAGCGATATTCAAGTTTGCCTGATGGTATAAGCTTATATTTATATTTACCTTTCGTATTTAAAGTTCTATAATATTCATATTTTAAGATATCTTTTAGCTACAACCGCTTTGTTTGGGTAATTAGTGCGGCAAAAAGTAAATTACCTTTCGTTTCTTTCTCTTCTAAACTGATTCGATCAATTATGCTTAAAATTGTTAGGTAGAAGAAGAAACGAAGAAAGAAACAATCGCAATACTCCACTGTGTATACCCTACATTTTGATCTTTGCTAAAAGGCGTGCTACCTTCACATTGGGTTCGCATCTCCGCTAAGGTAAGTGATACTTGAACGCTACAAAATGATTAGAAAGAACTAAAGAAAAGTAGAAATACAAAAATGTTATAAGAAATAAAAAAAAAAAACTTTTTTTGCTACTAATTACAATTTAGTGCATTTATATTGTTGGTGAAAAGTTGCAATACCCAAAGTGTGTATAAAAATTTGTAACGAATTTTGCCTTGTGCAGTTTTTTGATATTTTTTAAAAGATGTTCAAACCTGTCACAAACGGTCTCGGTCCATCATCACCAAATTCGTCAAAAACATGCCGTCTCCATACACACAAGAAACTAAATTAGTTATAAGATATTGTATCGAATTTCACCTTGTGCCGATTTTTGATATGTTTTAAAGGACACTAAAACCTGTCACGAAAACCTAACTTCATTACCGTGTTCGTGATCCATCACCACGAAACTCGCCAAAAATCCGCTCTATGCAGATACAAAAGAAGTTAAATGCAGGATGTTGCTGTTGAATGTTGCTAATAAAATGCTCGATCTTATATGTATTATATATTTGTTTTAATTGCTAATGAAATGTTCGATTTTATGCACATGATGAGTGTTGACGGACCGGTCTCTGAAAATGGTTATAACACGATTTGGACATTGCATTCTTTCAGTATTTGTACTATAATTTTGCATGAGATTTAGTAGCAATCGCAGTTTGTTGGTATTATTTAATTTTAATACTTATCTTACATGTTTGTTGTTTACTTCGCAGTAAATCGTAACTTAGCAAAGACATTTTAATGAAGACACGGAGCTCAATAATGGATTGTCTTAGTACGCTATCTTCACTTAGCAAATACTTCTACAGTATGGCGTTCTAATATCATGTATATAATAAAATTCTAATAAATTAAATCAATCATTCTAGAATAGAACGCAATTCGCGTTTCGAAACATAGCTCCTTGTTGTAGCTATGTTGAACTGAGCGCTCTCCATATTACTTCCGTATAGTGTTTGAATATTAGGATAAATTGGATATATAATAAATGTCGAAGTAAAGAGTTATAGCTTTTGAATGACTTATCTATTTAATAACGAAAGAATTATTTCCTTTCCCTTACATATTCATATATTCATATTATACATTACAAGAAACCAGATATTATAAAAATACCACATGTCAGCGACGCTATCTACTGATGGGTCCTGTAATATGAAAAGTTTCATCTTTACAAACTTTTGTCAAACGGACAAGGTATTCGAACCTGTTACGGCGGTGTATATGACACTCGGTGGTCTCGAGGTGATTCTTGAGGAACAAGGTTTTCCTCCCTTCGGCAAGTACCTTCAGTCCCATAAAAAAACTTCACAAATGTGAATTATTTTTCAGCCATTCAATCTTCCTTTGCAGTTGGTTTCACATTATTCAAATTGACCCGCAGTTCCCCTATAAAGCGATAACCTGATAATATGTTCCAAGTACAAAGAGATTGCAAGTTCCGACCGACTGTCGAAAGGCACTATTTCGGCCTACAATGCCCTTTCGTTAATTAAAAATCAAATATTTTGAACCGTATTCCCTTATTTCGTACAAATGCAAAGTCTATTTACTATCCCAAGCTCCTTTCGCTTTTTGCAAACCATTCATTAGTTGACGTTGAGGAAGAATTTTATTTCTGTCACCACATTTTCCTTCTGCTGACGCGAGAAGAACAACTTCAAACCTCACATTTTAAATTTCAATTTATTGTTGCTATTGTTATAATTCCTTTTTCTCGAACAAATAAATTTTTTGAACAAAATAGGGTGAGCATTAATGACTAAGAGTATTGATTGTTTTTATTCCCATTTCGTCAAATTAATTTAACCATGCCCACCGGTCTACCTATTCGTCTATTGTAAGAATGTTCCTAGTCGCCAAAATCATGATACCGCCCCCAATTTACAAAATCATTCTCGTTCCTATGTGAACATTGGTACTGAAAAAAGGCCCAAGTGAGCGCAGGACATGCCCACACTACAACGTAAACTCACACTACCTCCGCTTTGAAAAACGAACGAATAAAGAATTAATGTTTGGCTTTGAACGAATTAATCGTTTCTTAAAAAACATAAAACACAAAAAACGTTTCGATATTCTGTGCTGTTAAGTGTCCGGGCGCGTCCGATATTCACCATTTCTGTATACGTGCTGTAGGAGCATACAAAGAATATGCATAGAAATTGCTATCGCTATATCTTTGCTATGCTCAGGAGTTGGAACGCACTTTCAAAAAGAGGCATGCGCTCAATTTATATTACAATGTGGGCGTGCACTTTAAATGATTTAATCAATTTTCGCTTCAAACTTACCTGTAATAACTTCTTATGTTTTGGCCGCATTTGAAGCCGATATCGTAACTTAAGCGATCGGGATTAACTGATGGAAGAGAAGACATACCTCCACACTTAGATTTGATTGTGGTCAAAAATATACTTAATTTACATGATCTGTGAAACCTTTAACAGAAGAATGAAATTGCGTGGGCGTCAAACCTTTCCAATTTTTTACGGATGGAGTAAAAGTTTTTATAAACGATGAATGCAAATCTTTACAGTTTTACAATCGTAGTTTGAGTAATGAGCGATAAAACTTTTTCTTTATTATGCCTTTGAATATAAAGTGCTCTCAGCGATGATACGGATGTAGATGTTTTGGTCACGCACATGTCTACTACAGACGCTACACACACCGGTGGTCAGACAAGGGGATAGAATATATATGCCCCATTTTTTGGTTGTGGGTTCAAAAATGTAGTATTTTTGTTCGTTACTTATAAACTCGAATTTTAAAATTGTAAATTTTACACTCTTCAGGATTTTTTAAGATGACTGATGTAGAAGATACGGCAACACTCGCATACAATTTTATTACTTATTTTTTTATTTATTTAGCATTAACTTGTTGATACATATCAGACAACTTCACCCTCTAATAATAGAATAAAATTAAGCGTACTCTGGATAGATATTTAACTGATCGGTTTAAGAAAAATGGGAAGCAACTTTATTCTCTCTCTGCAAATTAATAATAAATCTGGGTTAAATTAAAGAAACCTCAAATGCAATGCAGATTTAAGTATTATTGTGTACAATTGGCTTGAGTTTTGCAAGAAAAAGATGTCGTTAACAACAATTGAAATTTGTTAAGATCGATATGTTCGATCATCCAATTAATTTTTCTTTGTTTCTTTTAGTATAACTTATTGTCCTTTTGAAAGCGAAATTATTTGAAAAATTTATTTTTTTCGTTTTCCTTATTATTGAAAACAACTTTGCGCACAGCTTGACAGGCTAACAGCTGTTGATTTGTGACCACTTTCTTTCTTAGCGTGACACTTATTAATGCAGTAATTCTTTTATGTTTTTTTCTGTTTTGCTTGCTTTGATGGCGTTAAGGGGTGAACTTATTTGTAAGCAGCTTTCAATTTTGAAAATAGCAGATGACGTTAAATATGCAGAACAGAAAAAAACAAAAAATTGGAAGGATTGCGTAGAATAGAGAGTCAGAGTGGGTAAACACAATAACAAGAAAGCAATAAAATATACTTTTATAAAACGTTATTTTTGTTTTTTTTCCTTGATTTTTGTTTTTTTTCCTTTCCCTCTGATTTTTTAAGATTTACTTACCCGGAAGCCAGCACATAAGGATCAATAGCAATGCTATGCTGTGCGCAGAAAAATGTTGTTGTGGGTGATTTTGCATTTTCTTGAAATGCTCTCGATGCCCTCGGTATCTTATGAACAACATGATGCAAAAGAAAATAAATGTTGTTGCTTAACTTCGTTACTCTCCTAAATCTCCTCCCTAGGTTCGCTAAGAGTTCTTTGCTGCAATGGTTTGTTTGTTGGAAGAAAGTCAATGCGTTTAGTTTTATTGATTTATTTAATTTATTTATAGTTTGAAGGACGTTATTGCAAGGTGGTTACGTACGTAAATATTTACTAAGTTACGATTTGTTCAGTTTACACTTAATTTCGTCTATGCATATGTTTGTTTCGTTCTTTTCTTTGCAACTTATGAAAGACAGTTGCAGGTGTTTACTTAATATTTATTTATGCGGTATTTACGACTTTCATTCTAAGACTTGCTTTCCGCGAAGTTTGCCACAGTTAATTTTTTATTAATTTTAATGGAATTTTCTTCCTTTTATTTTCTATTTAATAGGCGGCTTTTTCCAACTGCTGTTGACTGTTGACAGCAAAAAAACCCTGTAAATTCAGAATAAATTAAAAATTATTTGATTAATTCTTTTTTTTTTTTTGCACTCAATGTGAGCAAACAAGCAAATAAACATATGAGCGTATGAGCATAGAAACGTATAAAATTCCAATTGTGGCAGTAATTATATACAAATTTGTATCTGTGACTCGAAATAATCACACACGCATACGCATCCAACACAGCTGTCACAGTTCTTTCTATGAGCGCTTGTGCATGTTGGCGTTGGCGTTTGTCTTTGCGTTGATGAGCGTTAATTTGTATTTATTTCGGTGCCATAAACTACATTTGTTGTCATTGTACTTATTTGTGAAAGTATTTGTTATTTTATTGTTATTGATGTTTTTTTGTTGTTGTCATACGTAACGTTGTGCATGGATTTCAACTTTAATTTCAAATTACATTGTTCTCATCGGGCAGAAGTGTAAATGTATATCTGTGTGCGTATGTGTACGTGTGTTGTTTATATTTGTTTGTATCGCGTTTTTTTTTTTTTTTTTTGTTTTTATTTTGTTTTGTTTACATTTTTTGGTTGTTGTTGTTGCAATTTTAATTACTTTAATGAAAGTTTTAATTGCATAATATCACACAAACGTATAAACATATACTCACTCGCACACAATGAATTCGCAATGAGTTTTTGTCATGTACGTTGGCATGCCACGCGCTGCAAATGACGGTAACAGCAACAGCAATAACGCAGCTTGTGTGCATGTACTAGCAGTTGTTTTGCGTGTATTTGATTAAATTATAAACACAAAAACTAAAAAAAACAAGGAAAAAACGCGCCTGTAATGGTGACATAACAATACTACTTTTATTGTTGCAATTGTTAGCATGTAAGAGAAAACAATCACATATCACAATAAGTCTTTTGCATCTACATAAAACAGTTTTATACTTTTTAATAAACCTTTATTATCCGCTTTGGTAAGTAAATACTACCCCTTTTTTGCAGCTGCCGCAACTCCAAAGTGTTTATTATATTTAATAATAAAAAAAAGTTGTGGTTTCTTTTAACAATACATTAACTTGTTTATGTAGAGCAAATAAATGCTGTTTTTATTACCCGGCACATGGCAAGTGATTGAAGTGTTTAAAAAACTTGGTTATAACTATTAAATTGATTGATTTTAGTTAAATATTATAAAATTGATGACAATTACTTTGCTCCATTGTGCGATACGCTTCGTAGCCAAGGCAAATCCAAACTTATCGCAACGATACTATTATGTATATAAAGTAATACAGAGAAATTGTATATAACGTATAAGGGGAACAAGACAGTCATATCGGTTTTTTAATATAATATATCGGCTTTGACGATACGTAGTCTTCTCTTTGTAGAATATTTTAATTAGTTTCAGTGATTGCATTTTCTCTAAAGACTAATTTGACAACTTCGTAAGCTCCTCTTTAAAAATGAAATAGGTTTTTCCTAAATATCATTTCATCAATCAACCAATAAAGTCTTACCTTGGACTTTGCTTAGACTTTATGAGATATTCGACATTATTTATCTGGCTTGAGTAAGTTTCGGCTTTGCTGTGTTTTTAGACACCTGCGAGATAGGCTTCATAAAAAGCAATTTCTCCCCCTTTTGTCAACGCTGAAAAGAAGATTTTCATAACACCATCGCCAATGACCATTACCAACCCGACATTTTTGACCAGAGTGAGATGAATGAAAAATATCTCATCAAACTTGTCACCCTTTTTCTGCCATTAGAATTGAGTCCTATATCCTTCTTTTGTAATTGAATACCGTAAATATTTTTTGCCAACCGAGCGAACAAATGTTTAATCAATACACATGTATCCCTCCTATAACGCGGTCAATAGTTTCCTGAAAAATTCCGCGTTATAGGGAATCTCGTTGTAGGAGACTCAGATCCAATTCAAAAAAGGGGGTTACGTTCCTAATCGAAAAAAAATTGTTTTTATTTAAGATATTTTTCTATTTATCATTTCATCATAGCAACATAAGTTAATACCACTTCGTTTATTTAAACAGCGCAAAATAAAAAAAAATCTGGAAAAACAAATAAAAACGGAATTTCAAATCTACTTAACATTAAATGAAACCCAAATACGAATCACATTCTTCTGCAATATCCCTCCTCAACATCACTTATTATAATTTGAGTGTGCTTCAAACGTTTTGCTCATATCCGTCCTAATTCAAATTCCAAGCTTAATCCACTATCAGACTGATCCTTTTCAGTGATTACTGGTTTAAAAAGAATCTTTTATTTAAGTCTGTTTTCCCTTATTTCGTTAATCTTTATAGGTTTCCTGGTAGGCGGATAAATTATTTTTAAGATTTCTTTCGAACCTTTCTGCCTTACCTCTTAGAGGAATGTTTTCCCAAACATACTCTTCCAACTCCTTCGCCAGATTTAAAATTTTCTCTGCACTTTTTGGTGAAAAGTTTCCAATTTTGGCATTGGAAGGTTTGCCAGAGCTATCTTCAATCGATAAGGCTTCATTTGTCATTGCCACTAAATCTGCTTCATTTATTTCGTCGTCCACAAATAATTCTCAAATATCATCCACAGTAATTTCGTCAAATCCATCGTCTCTTCGTCAGTCTCACTAGGTTTCTATATTCATTCTCTATTGGATAAGCAACAGTTTCCTGAACTGTTGCCTCCGGCAATAGTGCTTTGCAGCAAGCTCGCAGTGTTCATTGACAAATTTCTTTAAGTGACATCCCAACGATATCAGCATAATTTAAAACTGAGAACTGGTTCTAGACTTCCTTGATTGTTATATATGATGATTCTATCTTCTTCAATATTAGCTCAAACGAATTGCGTATGTAGTATGCTTTAAATGTTGCTATTATTCCATGATCTAAACGTTGTAATACTAATGTAGTGTTAGGTGATCAAATTCAACTTAAATATTAGGATGACATAAATCAGTTGCATGAGGTGGAGTATTGTCAAAAAGTTGTAAAACTTTAAATGCCAAGTTTTTGTTTTTTTTTTAAATAACTTTCTACGTGAGGAACAAAGCTCTTGATGAAACCAATCATTAAATAAATTAGCAATCATCCATGCTTTTTTGTTCACTCTCCAATACACTGGCAGATTGTTTTTGTTGCATCCTTTCATAGATCGTGGATTTAATGATCGGATAATAAGCATTGGCGTGGCCATGAAATCGCCAGAGACATTACTGCAAAGTAACAATGTTAACTTTTTCTTAGAAACCTTAAAGCCAGGAGCTGTTTTTTCGTTTTTCAAATTTAAAAGTTCTTGAAGGCCTTTCTTTGCCATCACAAAACCGTCTCATTAGCGTTAAGTATTTGAGCTGGTAAATAATCTTGTTCTTTAATAATTTTCGCGAACTCTTCTGAATATTTATCTGCTGCATCTGCATCTGTGGATGGTTGTCCTGTTTCCCTTTTTTTACTTCCTGCTTAACTACATTTCCATCTAAGGGCAATCGCTTTTTCATTATATCTTCTGTCCACACCGTTAGCGATTACCCCACTTTTTTCATTATCTTTGCTCTTGGACGAAAAATGATTTGTGCGAGTACCGGTGATCCAGAAAATACCGAACATCTAATTTTCTCTTGGTGTTGTTTTATTGTTCTTATTGTTGATTCATTTAATTTAAAATGTCTAGGAATATCAGCTATCCTCTCTTGATTTTGAAGTCGATCCGAAATTTGAATTTTGGTTCCAATAGTGAACAATTTTTGTTTTAACGACGTACCTTCCTTTTCGTTTGGTATTTTAAGGACTTAAATTACAATTTGGTTATTTTAAGTTATAAAAAATTTAAAAGAAACTTACTGATTATAAAATGTATTCACCTTGATTTTCACAAAATAAACGCGTAGGAGAAAACACACTCTCTCTTCAAAGTTCTTGAAATATTTCAATGAAAAATATAATATAAAGAATTGTTTCGCAAATGTTTTAAAATTTGGTGATGTGAATCTCACGATTTCTTTGCTGTGAACGACAGGACAAACCTAAATTTTCAAAAACTCTTTCAAAATGTAATTTTCGGGAAAACCGCTTTTTACAAAAAAAGTGTGTGTGTAAATGTTTGAACAAAATTGCGTTGTAACTTTGCCGTAAATTAAATTCTAGCCATGCTATAAAGAGACGATATTTCTTGTAAAATTAAAATATGTAGAGTAAAAATCAATGAGGCTAGATCTAACAATTTGTTAATTAAACATATAATGCAAAATTAAAGCTTTTTACAATATTATTGTTAAAAAATTCTTTAAAATCACGTTGTAAGAATACTGCGTTGTAGTAAATTTTCCATATTTTGCGACATTTTGCGAACCGCGTTATGAAAGTAGCGCTTTATAGGAGACTTATCTGCACATATTATTTAAAGCCGTGAACTACATCACAAAGGCAGACACAGCATTCCCATGTTTTTGTGGTCGTCGTAGGGTACGGAATTATTAAATTTTGCAAAAAAAAATTGTCGCAAACATTGATTTGGCAGTACAGGTGCCAGGTGCCCACCAATTTAGTTTGACCCCAACAACGGTGGTGACCAATTTCGGGAATTATCTTATTTACTTCGGTATGGAATCGGATTGCAAAAAAAGGCAAAGATTTTAGATCAACGCCCTTTGGTGCTCGGGACTTAGTCACCCTCCTGGTGACTGTGAGTGGCACGCTCCCGTTCGTGTGCGATCCGGCATCGCGTGGCTTCACAGTAAGTACTTACGTAAAAAACTAAGAGACATCTGTGACTATTGATCCGCAAGTCGAAAATTGATATAACGTCACAGAAGTAATGATTAGCAACACGGTCATAAGCTTGTAAGGCGACTGCTATTGTGATTGTTGACAATGTTACTACGTTCTCAACGCTTCATCTAAAAGCCATTCCTCCACATTTTCCTTGTCTGATGTTTACGCTTGATTGATATTATTCCATAACTTTGACGACACCATCTTTCCATTCTTCTATAGCGTCTTCGGTTAGGTTATGTTAAACATGTTA